TTGAAATTTTGAAAAAAAAAAGATAAAAATACTCCGTTTTAATATCTTTAAGAGTAAAATTGTCCTAACAAAAATATTAGAATGTTAGGTATTTTTTAAAAAATATTTTAAGAATAAAAATATATCTTAACACTAAAAAACCAACCTATCACAAAAAATTAAATGCAAAATTTAAGCCTACTAAAAAAAATGAGGGCCATTAGGTTTGGTTAGTCGAAGAAGTTAAATTAACTTATTTTGAGATCTTGTGTTCTAAATTTTCAAAATATATAGCCGCATTATACAAAAATGCTGAAGACATTATCTAGATACCCATAAGATATTTCTTAAGCTATTGGACGCTGAAATAAAAAAATTAATAAAACTTTAGCTTTTTTTTCTTCTTTTAAACTTTAATTCGGAAGATAGAGCGTGCTATAAGCATATTCATTTGACTAATAATAATTCAAGTTCTTTTGCTTTATATGTCATTAAACTTAATTAATTAATGGCAACATATATTCGTGGATAACTTTTATATTTGATATGGGCAACTAGAAAGTTCAATCACGCAAAGTGCACTTTATGATCACATTATTAATTGATAAGATTTGTGAAAGAGCAATCTTAACACACTTTTTGGTAGAATGTCTATTCTTCCTTAATCTCACAATTAAGCCTAAATAATCACATGATTTACATCTTGTTTTTGAAACTCTTCAATATAAGTAATACTCTCTTCATTAAAAAATATAAAATATTTTTAATCGAATCTCACCTCTCAATAAAGTAATTATTTATCTTTAAACTAACATCATTTTTTTACATTTATTCTTATTTAATAGACTATTTTACTTTAAAATAAATATAAAGTAATTTATTTTTAGGGATACTTTTTTAAAAAAATAATAATTATATTTTAAAACACTAAAAATACCTCATACTTTTTTAACATTTAATCTTTTAAAAAAATTTATATTTTTTTAATAGAGAGAGTACATATAATATGCATCTTCTTATCAATTCTCAATCTTAACGTACATAACATGCTTCAAATCTTCCCATTCAAGCCCTTTTTAAAAAAAAATATTCACAATATTGATTTTTTTCTGTTAAATCTTTCAGCTTGGTCTTGGTCTTGTTCAAGATAAACCCATTATAAATTTCAAACCCAAAAAATCTTGACGTGACATAAAGTATTATTATTATTAACAAACAATTTGCATGACCCTTGAATATGGGTTCATTTGCAGGTGGACTTCATTACTGTTCTTTTTTTCAAAATCTAGAATGCATCAATAATAAACTTTTTTTTACAAATTATACACTTTTTTAATTCCTATGCTAATTGATTTTTTCACAAATTATAAAATGAAGCAGAGAAAAGATTCTCTTACAAGATCACAGCTCTTATAAATTTAACTTAAATAACAAGTTTTCTTTTTTCCTATGCTCCACTTTGTGTCATAAAAAGACACAAATCTAGCAAGGGTTGCCTTGTCTTGAAGCACAAGTTTAATTAATTATTTAATCTATTTAAGTTAGCATACCAACTCACATCAATGAAACCCTTTTTTTTTTCCTTTCTCCTTCATGAGTTAATTATTTCTTATTGACTTGTAAGTTAAAGTCAACATTCATCAATCACACTCACCATCCACTCCCACTTGGAATGTTCCCCAACTTGGTCAAATTTTGAATATATATATATATATATTTGTTCTTATACAATTGTGCATAATGAATACTTTTCAATTCAGAGTGTTTGTAAAAACAAAACCTTATTGTTTGCTCCCAGCACAAAATCCAATGTTGTGTCTACACCCATATGTCATGTTGGGCTTTTTAATGTGAAAGGTTCTCTCTCGGATTGATTCTTTATCAGGTCAACAATCATTTTGACTGGTTCTAATTACTAACTCTTTCATCCCTTTCACTTTATGTTAATGATTTTTAAATCTGATTTGATCACACACTGACCCACCAATTCTCTATAGCAACCAAGAAGATAGAGAAAGGAAAAACCTTTTACCTTTTTCACCGCATTAATAATTTAGTATTTTGTCTTTATAGGGTCATCGACTTTCACAAATTGCAATAATTTAGGGTAGTTTGACTTAGTCATGCCCTTGAATTATTGTTAATTGAAGAGAGACTAGGAAGCAATTTTTTTCTATCCTTTCTTTAATCTTTGGTTAAGGATTATTTACCTCGTTAATCGGTTCCGAAGAATGAATCATGGCAAATAAAAATATTTAAAAATTAATTGATAATAGTTGAATGGAGTGAAAGGACTTTAAGTTTAAGTCATAAATATAGAAGGATGTTTACCTCCTATTTGAGATCAGATAGGGCTTATATTTGAATTTGTCAATAATACTGGATATCAAAGGTTATATAAAAAGAATGAATAAAGGTCATTTTGGCTCATAAATTTTACATAAAAGGTCATCAGGAATCTTAAATTTAATTATGGGTCAATTCTATTCATTAATTTTAAAGACTCTCTCACATATTACTTTTTCATTTTCTTACCACTAGTAGACTTTACATTACATTTTTTTTAATATTTTTTATTATAAAATATTTGAGTTGAAAGTACCTATTAACCCTTTTAATAAAAGTTAAAGGGCAAAAATGATCTTTAAACTAATAAAAAATATTAAAAAATAGTAAAACTCACCTTTGATAAATAAACATTAAGTGTTTTTAACATTAAGATAATGAAGAAAGAAATTTTTAATATTGAAAGAAAGAACTATTTATAATTAAATTTAAGGTCTCTAATAACTTTTTAATCAAATTGAGGGATAAAAATAACTCTTAATCCTCAAAAACTAAACAATATTTGGAAAATTATAATCTTTTGCCGAATCACATATATCTATAACGCAATCATAGAGAACTTTTCATTCAACAATCAAATTTGTGGAATTCGTCTTCGAAAGTCTAGGCTACAAAGAGAGTTGGCTTATCATGATTACTTGAAAGAAACAGAGCACACTGGAGACTGGACTATATCAAATCTACAACTTCCCACAACGTGTTTTTGTCTCCAAATTTTAAGCTATAATTAGCATCTGAGTGAATTTTCCAATATGAAGGCTCAGAATAATGATTGTGAAAAGGGAAAAAGAAAATGCAATTTTGAAGCAGCCTTTGAAGAACGAAAACCAAACCCATCCACCTAATTCATTGTTTTATCAGTTCATATAAATCCCTTTTCATACTGCATAATCCAAAAGGTTAAGCTTGTCAGCTTTATTATATCATAATCTAAAATCCAAGAGGCTCACAATCACACACACCTAATTCCAACCTCTTTCCAATATTTATAATCAGTTACATCTCATGCCATTTTTTTTATATGTCAGTTTGGTAAAATAATATCAGTTCTTCATCTCAGCCTCTTCCTAGATCTCCTACTAATGTCAAACAGTTTACGCGTAGAATTTGGTGATCAAGAATGTTTCTAATGGTGAGCGTGAAAGTTTCTTGGAAGGATATCCAGTCATAGATGAACCTAGTCACAAAAAGGCATTCAAACATGGAAAAGACTTTTCACTGAGAATCAATTCCTGCATACTTACAAGTCTTCTTATAATTGATTTGATTCACTTAATCTTTCAGAAGCCGATCTAACTATAAATTTATTTGCTGGTATCTTTTTCTGTAATACATATATATATATATATATATATATATATTTCCTACTGGTCAGAGTATTGCAGAAGCATCCAATAATGGGGTGCCTTTCACAGACACCATCGGCTATTTTTGTCATTTCTGTATGTTTGGTGGCTTGCTTCCATCAAACACCCAAAAGACCATTCCTAAATAGAAACAACTTGTGGAAGTGGGAGAAAAACCCTCAAGTTGAGCAGATGAGAAGGATTGAAGAAGTCAAAAGGTTCAGATAAAATTTTAGGAAACTCCAAAACTTGTCAAAGATGTCAAGCTTTTCTAGCAAACTTGTTGGCCCTCCTCTTAAATGCATCATAACCCAGTTAGTATAACTGTCATAGGGGCCTGCCTGCAAAAATTAATTCCTACAGCACCTCCTTTCCTTTCTGAGAGTCGAGGGAAATAATTTAAAATGCTGTTGTTATTTTTTCTTGGTCATGAATATAAAATAGCCATAAGCTCCCCTGTTTCTGAGTTTTGTAGTAGATATCAAGTCAAATAATGTATCTTTTGGTGCAAAACAGAGGGGCCATGAAATCAAATGAGGAATAAAAATTAATTATCAAGTACAACACAGTTTCCTCTAAGATATTTGGGCGATACAAGTAAAGCTTCAGGCGCTTACCAGGCCTGAACCATGCTGCAAGTTTTCCCCCACTTTGATTTATAAATTCTCAGACCTTATAAAACGTCAGAGACAATGTTCAACAAACTCGCAATTGATTAACTAGTGGTCCCACCGTCCTGCTATTATTACCTTTGGACCTTGGACACCATCTCAATCAAATGAAATTTTTTCTTCTTTTGCTTTGTTTCCATCTTCCTAAGCCAAAGAAAAATAAAATGAATGCAGGAGGCCTCACATGCAGATACAGACGTTATTGTCAGAGACAAATGAAAAGAAATAGGACAGATTCCGCGTACAGCGAGGTATTTGTAGGGGACAATGAAGGATGGCCAAGCAATCCTTATCAAAACAGATTGAGTTGAATGAAGCCCGCATGGTTTATGTTTTTGTTTTTCAGGAATGGGACGCGGACACATACATTATACGGTCATGACTTTATTTTCTTGAATGAATCACTTTTCTTTTCCTCAACCAAAATTAGAAAAATGTCGCCGGTCTATCCAATATTAAAGAACAATTCATGCCAAAATCAATTTAACTTTACCAATGAAGAAGGAAGGAAAAGTAATATTGAATAGGAATTATTTTGTATTTCTATTAGCATTTAGTGTTAAACAACCACAGGAATAATTTACCCCCCCCCCAAAAAAAAAAAAAAAAAAACGAATGCACGCGTGCATACGTCAGCAGAAATACATGATTCGAGAGCTGTGTAAGAAGTATCACTTTAAGCAACTTATCAATGTATACAAATCCTAAAAGACAGAGAAGCTCAGAAGCAATAACGCACAAGAATAAACTCAACTCGTTACTCACAGATTTCTTACAAAATAATAATTGGCTTAAACTACCGAGTACCGCTTCATGGTTCACAAGCTATCTCTGATAAATTAGGCATTTCTACAAGTAGTAAAAGCAAAATACTTGCAAGGTAAACTTCCTCCTGTAAACATTCAGGAAATCACAGCTCTTGCAATCTTTTTCCGCAGACGCTTCATCTAGTTGAGATGATTATGATGAAAGGGCGAGAAAGAATTCAATAGCAAGCAGCTTGAGAATAACATATATCTATACATACATATATATATATAATGTATATCTATGTACGCATGTATGTATCCCTGAACTGAAAATCCCCGCGTGGAACTTGAGAATCTAATATCCCTCTTTTCAACGGGCATCACAGTAGAATGGGACTGTTTACTAATACTACAGCCGTTGACCCTCCATAAGATCAGCTAGAGTTATTTTTCCACAGTTGCCGGCATCTATCTTTTCAAATTTCTCACAAATCTGCAAAATATCTTTGTCTGAAACCATCCCCATCTCCTTGAGCTTGTAAATAACATATTCTGATTTACTGCGAGAAAAACAGCACATGCTTGTCAACAATCCCTGATTATGAAATGAGGTAAAGCCGAATCTGCCAGAAAACAATCAGAAAATGTGTATACAAAACAATTATTTGATAATTTCCTCTTTCTGCAATCTGAAACAGAGAATCAAAGAGTCTCTTGAAAATTATAGATTTCAACCATCCAGGAATGTGAGAGCAATAGAACAGCTATGTCAAAAACAATTCATCAAACTTGATATCATAATTCCAGCAACCATCCATTAAAATAGCTAATTGTATTACTTTGTTAAGGCAATAAAGCAAACTCAATAATCATGATTCAACCATGAAATAGATCTACCAAATAGATCACATTAAAATAATAACCAACCACCATCAATAATGATGATTATAGTGTTTTAGAAAACTATACATGTTTGATTATGTTTCACCTCTATAATAAAAATGGCACGCCTTAAATAATAACACTGAACACTTGGACTTTCTAAAAAATATATATATAAGCCTAAATTTAAAATCATTTTTATCAATCACCGTATCTCTAAGTAGGAGCTAGCACCAAGGGAAATTTATGTAAGTGAAACTAATCTCTCGATGTGTCTGTGTGCGCACATGAAATACCAAAATTCTAATGTGGAACACGTTTAATCCATGTTTTAGAGATCCACAAGCAGGCTAGCTACTCTCTATTATACTGGTGAAATAACTTTCTATTTGAAGTCTGCCTAAGCAAATCGTTTCTGCAAGACCACCAAATCTGAGAATGAGTTCCATAAAACGTACAACAATAGCTAAAAAATATCATAGGGATTATGCACATCTTGAACTAGATCATAACATTTAACTGCTAAACATTTCATATTTACAACTTTTCCCATGGTACACATGTTAGTGTATGTGTGGGAGGTGACGGTATGCTGCATACACGATTGAGATATTTTTTTATAAGCTTAGCCTACATGGAGAATATTTTGTTCAACAATATAAACAAGGTATGTGAAGTAAAATATACAGAAAGTAATGAGGAGTTGATGCTAGTTAACACAATGGAGAATGATGAACCCACAAGTAGGATAATCTTTTTTATGATAATCTAAGGAGATTAAATTTTCCGCACTAAAATTAAGATGCCAAACTTCGTAATCAGACTATAGTTCAAGAGGTTACATGTAATTCCTCTAAATACAATGATGAATGACGTTTAATAAATTAATAACTAGTTCCAAATGGGATTCTTCGAGCATGTTCTAATTGTCTATGAACGAGACACATGTAAAAAATTTATCCAGATGGTTTGAATAAAATAAAAAAAAAATACATGCATGCATGCATATATATCCAGGTGGAACTACATTTGCATGAACATCTATGATATTTTAACTTATGAAACTACCAAGCATCCAAGATCAGAGAAGTAGCAAAAATAAATGAACCTCCCAAAGCTGCAACTGCAAACAATGACTATTCTGAACCGTAAAATTGAGAACTAGTTTGAATTAATACTTATTTAAATCTGCAGTCCACCAAACACTAAATTAAAAGTATAACTAAAGATGAAGTAGTCCACCCTCTATTTTCCTCTCAAGAAAAGCTGAAAGTGCACTACTCTCTTCCGTAAACTTGGCTATCAAGTGCAGTTCTCCAAAGTCAATTCCCATAAAGACTGACAATTGTTGTATTTGCGAGTTACTAAAGATCTGTAAACCTAGCTCCCCACACAGTGTAACAGGTATAAACGAAGTACACCAAAATACTCTGAAAACTTGCCATTTAAAACACTATTCATTGCAAAATATGAATATAACATCCCTAAAAATGACTTAATTTATCTGGTTCAGCCATGCTGGACAAATTTTCTTTTCATGTTTCTCACTTTGCTCATTAGTTCATGCTACATGATATATGTTTGTTAATCCCTCACTCTATTGTGAAATCTTTCAGACCTTAACAATAATATGGGCTCAATGACGGTGACAATTAGGTGCCCAACAAGGGGAATACCTCAACAACAGTAAAACTACTTAAAATTAAGTTTTGATTGGCATTTTATCTATCTTCCCCTGCAAATAATAATAGTTTCATTTGGACTAGTTTAATCCATACATTACTCAAGCAGGCTTTTTCAGCTAAACAATAAATACCAAAGACAGAAAAGCAGAATGCAGGACAGCAAATCGTTCCCTTCAGAGATACAGGAGTACAAGAACCTCTAATGTATAAAACTACTGTTCTAAGGTCTCAATCCAAGACAACTAGTCCAATTGATCAGAAGACATGAATGAAAAGACTATAATGAAAAGACTTAACAGTTAAAACAAAATCTAACTCTCACAACAACATAATTGATCAGAAGATTTGATAGCCACTGTATTAGAGTATAAAGCATTTAAACCACTTGAATCACTACCCCAAGCATAAAAAACAAACTTCCCTGTTAGCATTTACATTATATAAATCCAGATTTAATACATAGAACACAAAGAGACGCACTTAAGATCCACACTCCAAGACATTACATAACTGAACCAACTTCTTAAATTCTAGTAAGTTCCGCGAGCATCTAAAGTATATGTGATCTCGTGGTGATAAAAGTAATGGAAAGATCTTTTTTTGAAAGAAAAAGATCTGCTAAAATTGGCAAGCATCTAAACTGTAAACAACTGAGCACTATACTGTTAATAGCAGTTATATGCTTATATTAAATCTAATAAGGATTCAACATCAGAAAAACGAACATGTAAGACAGCATACCTCACAAAGCCATTATTGTCGATATCTGCAGCAAGAAACTCAGAGATAGTCATATCCTGACCAAGAATCCACTTTGACATCCTCCTGTGCCGCTTAGCCACTCTTGCCTCAGCCAAATACAAGAATGCCCGGGCCACTGCAAGTGTTGATACAAGCAACCATATAGCAGCAAAGATGCGACCAGTCAGTGTCTTGAATGCATGGTCACCATACCCTACAGTTGTTACTGACATAACTGAAAGATAAAAAGAATCCAACAACCCAAGCCCTTCCACAAAATGCATAACCCAAACCCAATTCCAATACAAAGGACGACAACTCCCAATGCCAAAGACCCTTCAACCTAATCCTCATTCTCCCTTTCTTCACATCAATTATATATGATCTCGCATCTTTCTCAATCCCAGCCTTTGTCTTCACAGCTTGAAGCAAGTGATTCTCCTGCAGATCAAGAACATAACTGACCATCCCGCTGAGCAGTATGTCAATAAACCCAAAACCCACCAGTACAAACAATATAGAAAACAGTTTTGTTGCTGTGCTATTTGGAGTAATATCACCATAGCCTATTGTGCACATTGTCACTATACAAAAATATAAAGCGTCCACAACAGGATGAGTTTCAGTTGCTGAAAAATTATGACGATTGAACCAATAAATAACCACCCCCAACAACAAATACATTATAAGAAGAATAACAGCTTGACGAACAATCGACTGGGAACTAAATTGTGGTCTAACAACAGGCCCCTGGTGATTAAAATCGCTGATTACCGCCATAGCCGGGGCGGTTTTAGAGCGATGAAGATTAGTCTTGTGAACTGGGAAATTGGGGTCAATAAGCCAAGACTGTTGGGGCTGTGTATCTTGAGGGTCCTGTGAAGAAGAGGAGGGTCTTGGGGAATTAAGGGTAAGTGTTAAGGCCTCAAGCAAGGGGGAAGAACCTGCTGGGGAAGAAGAGCCAAAGATAAGGCGGTCCTTAATCGCCGAAGGGGTAAGAGGAAGAACGACCTCATCGTGCTCCGGCAAAGGGCATAGCGGCGGCGGTGGCTTCTTTCGGGGGCTGGCATATGGGAGCAGAGGCTCCTTCTCCATATTGGTCGGCTTCAAAAACTGCTCTTCCGTTCACAAGACTACAGAGAACTGCGAGAAGACTGTGAACTGAGGCGGGTTTAAGATCCTGGAATGGGTTTCAAGAAGTGATTCAATTACAGAACATAGCAGAAACTGGTGGTGGTAAATCAAATGAAATAAGAAGAAAACACAGCATTAAGTGGGTCCAAGAAAAAAGGAAATTTGGCCTTTCGTCACAATTAGTCTTCGATTAAGACGGTGGTCGATACGGAAAACGGAAAACGTCAATGATTAATTGAGAGACAAATTTAGAGTGTGACAAAACAAGCATGAAATGTAGGTACGGTGCTTGCGTCCTGTTGCTGAGTAAAAAGATTATGAATTTAAGATCCGGATTTAGATTGAATCCTGCTAGTTCGATTCATTACTACGTGTCACAACCACGCGCTCCCTATTGGCGCGTGAGGTTTCTCTTTAAGTTTGAGGTCATTCATCCGGCATGTTCTGACAGGGGGAGAGGGACTGCCTTTGACTTTTTCATTGTTCTTTCTTTTTTTTTTTTTTCCTGAAATATTTTTAGTCGGATTATTGGTGAGAAAAATAATAAATTAGACATATTTTCAACTCCATCTGTAATAATCACCAATAAAAAAGAACTTAACAGCCCATTATCAATAGTTTCTATAAAAATGAAAATTTTAAAAAAATTTAAAAAGTGAGAAAATTGTAAATAAGTGAAATATGATTTGGAATAGAAATTTATTTTTTATTTCATTAAGAAAATAAGAAAATTTTGCAAAACGGATTATTAAAAAATTTCATTAGCTTATTATCGTTATCTTATTTTTACTTTTTTTTTTTATAACATGAGGAGTAGACCCTGTCGAATCCTATTATTCCTGTTGGATCTTATTTTTGCCTTTTTCACTCACATTTATTTTATTTTGATTGATCAGTTAAATCCTTAATAAATAATGCACTGTATGGTTGGCAAAAAATAATAATAATAATAACATACACTATGGGGTTTGATTAAGTAGAACTGTAAGTTTAACATCTTAGATTACTATTTTTAATTGTATTTGTATTCACTTGCGCATTTTTGTGTTTCATTTAAAAATTCCATCGCCTATTTTCTTATTTCGCCTTTTCTCTCACACGTTTATTTTGATTAATCTGTTAAATCCTTAATGAATAATACACTGTATGGGTTTGATTAGGTAGTGACGCAGCGCATTAGCCAGCTTGTTCCGTTTATTGTAAATTTTATATTTTACATTATTACTGTTATTAATTGTGTTTATAGCCATTCATGTATCTGTTTATATATTCATTTATCTTTATAATTTACATTAAATTCTTACATCTTCCAAATAATTTTTAGTTTTATACACGTATTGATTGATATCGCATTTAATTTTATCTTAAAATCACTTCCACACTAAACGTTAACGAAGAAGGGTTATTTTGTTGGAAAAAATTTATATATTTAACTTTATATACACCTAAAGTGCTTGTTTTCGTTTAAGTCAAGTCATTTATAGATTTATTTTATAATACATGCTTATTATTAATATTATTAACACATTAAATTCACTTGTTTTGGTTTAATTGGATAAAAGCACATTATGAGAAATACTTAATAGGCCAAACGTATGACATCATTTATAATCTGTTCAATTAAAATATTTTAAGTAATTTAAATAAAATGTTGTGTCACTTTTTAAAATTAATTTTATTTTTATAGCAGAATACATATTTAATTTTTTTTTGTCTTTTTTCTCTCTACTATCATTAATATTAGAATCAGTTTATATTTAATGCCATTCAAATATCATGTTTTTATTAAATAAACTATAAATGACCTGATATACCTGATCCACCTAAATATTTCTCAACACATTAAATATATATAAAGATAAGTATATAAACCATACCCCATTTTGTTTTAGTATGAGGATTCAATGGTTTTTCATGCGTAATCTTCATTTTCTTGATTCATCAGTAATATAATTATTATTTTTTAAGCCAACATCAGTAATATAATTTTAACTTTCATGATCCTTCATAATAATTAATATTTCTTTTTAGTCCTGGGTTATATTTTTTTTCTACGAAGAACTATTTCAACATTTTCTATACTCACTTAGCGGGAAGAACTTCTTTATATTCACAACAAATGTCCTGCATAAAAACGGGAAGAAAAGAACCTGCTATTCTATTAAAGAACTAAATTCATATTAGGGTTACTCTTGCTTTTAAACTTTAATTGCAGATTTTAAAGAAAAAGTTCAAGAGAAAAATGACAATTAATTCTTATAAAAATATTAAAAAATGCAAATGATGAGACTCACATAATGACTATTAAGCATACTAACATCAAGGACAAAAATGACCCACATAATGTTGTTCAAGGACAAAAATGACCCAGTGTCAAGTGCAGGGTAAAAGTGACCCGCGCTTAGTCCTTTATATTAAATTACTCTAATAATTACTTCATCAGTTTAGTATCATTAATTAGCATCATGTTAAAAAATATAAAAAAATTAATCATTCAGTCTTTATAGTTTTAACCTAATTGTAACTCAGTTTTTAAATTTTAACTTATTATAACTCAATCCTTATAATTTTAACTAGATTTTAATTTAGTTTTTAAACTTTATCTCTTGCCATTTAGTCCTTATAATTTCAACTATTTAAATATTTATCCTTATATTTTAAAAGAAAAAATCATACAGATTAAAAATATTTTAAAATTTTAATATTTAAAAGGGTTTAGCAATTTATAATATTAGTAATAAATGTTAACATAATTTTAATATTCATAATTTCATTTTTTAAAATAGAGAGATTAATATTTAAATGAATAAAAATACAAGTATTTAGTTGCAGGAATTAAAGTTTAAAGAATGAATTACAATATGATCAAAACTTTAAGGATTGAATTATAACGAGTTAAAATTTAAAGATTAAATTACAACTAAGTTAAAATTACAATGACTAAATGATTAATTTTTTTCAAAAATATAAAACATTGCAAGTCTTTCAAGATATAATTAATTAGATTTATATACTTTAAAACCTATTAAATAAAAATAAAGATGAAAGAAATGTATAATTCTAAATAACACTAACTAATTTATTGAAGACATAAATTGATTAGAAATGCTTGAAATGCTTTATAAGATAGAACGATTAGATTCTTTGGGACCTAAGTGTAATTTAAAATTGAGATAAAAAGACAAAATACCTCCATTAAATATATACATACATACATACATACATTATATTACTTAAATAATTTATAACTATTTCACTAACGATTTATAATTATAATTTCAACATTTTACAGCTATAAATTATTGATGAAATATTTATTAGTAACACATGATTGATTAATTATTAGACATGTAAAATTACAGTTGTAAAAATTATAATTATAATTATAAATTACTGATGAAGTAATTATAAATTAATTATTTGATTGATGTAATATATGTTTTATAAGAGTCTTATTATCTTTACAGTCTAATTTTAAATTATACTTAAATTTTAGCTATAATTTTTAAATTTTATAAAATTTATTTATAAATAAATTTACTCCACAAAATTATACATAATTTTTTTAAAAAAATATTCAATTATATCAAAAAATACATGATATTCATGATACTTTGCAGTGGGGAATTGAGTATTGACCAAGTCGGAGCCTCTAATGCGCTTTCTCCACCGTTTGGCCTCTCTTAGCGTGATGTGCGTCAATCGTTTTATGCACTGATTTCAATTAAACCGAAATGAAATGTCAACGCTTATTTATTCATTGGCCACCTCAATGCCAGTTCCAAAGAATCAAAACATTCTTTTTTAAAATATATATATATATATATATATATATATATATATATATATAGCTGGTTATGGTTGGCAGACAGCTCTCTTGCTTGGCTTTTACTACTCAGACATTCCCATATACTTCATGATCTCGATGCTTGATCATGATGTCCATTTCTAGGTGGCAAAATTCCTAAATCATTGAATCATGAACAGGTCAATGATTAATTAGTTTAATAGTAATATTTTACAAACCAAGTTGATCACATACCAAATTTATTTCTTTTTTTTTTTTTTACTTAACGTGCCAATTTCAGCCTTGGAATGTTTGCTCTTCTTGAAAGTTGACTCCAAAGCTACAACTGGAAGATGTTAGTGGGTTCTACTTCCAAGCAGCAATAACATTATAATTGACTTTAAATAAACGTGGATTATGTAATTTAATTCAAGTTGGGCAATATAACTAAACATAAATTAAGGAAGCTAATAATTCGAGTGGCTTGAACTTATTTAGATCTAATTAAAAATACTCGCATTTATAAAAAAAAGCATGTATAATCAAACCTAACCGTAACATCCTCAAGCTTCGAGTTTATTCAAAGTGGCCTTAATAAATGAAATTTTTAAAATTATTTTCCTCTTTTTTAACCAATTTTATTTTTTAACTTAAAAATTAAAAATATTCAAACAGTATAAACTAAATTACACACTATAAAATGTAAGATTGAGGGTCATTTTTACCTTCAATTTTACCCAAAAGGTTATTAGGAATTCTAAACTTAACTATGAGTTAATTTTGTCCATCAACATAAAAATTTCCTACTTCCTTATCATGTTAAAAACGCTTAACATTCATTTATTATCAATGGATCTCACTATTTTTTAATATTTTATTGAATTAAAGGTCATTTTAATCCCTCAACTTTTATTTGAAAGGTTAGTAGACACCCTCAACTAAAATATTTCATAACAAAAACATTAACAATATGTAATATGAGACTCACTAATGTTTAACAAACATCAGAAAATAACAAGGTGATGGAGGAGAAAATCTTTAAAGTTGAAAAAAAAAAATTGATCTATAATTGAGTTTAAAATCCCAATAACTTTATTGGGTAAATTTAAGGAGAAAAAATAACCCTTAACCCTTGACCATATGAGATAAGTCATAAAAATTACATCAATATTAAAAATAAAATTTAGAAAGTATATCCATCAACAAGGTCTTTTATTATTTTTTTCCCACTTCCTTGAATACCTGTAATTTTTTTAAATTATTTTTTCTTGTCTTTTTTGAGCCAATTTTAAGTACTCCCCTAGTTCTCTTATTCATTGCACAATCCAAACCATTGACCCTTTGTGTCAATACTTCACCTTACTTATCACCCACCCCGATCCTCAACCTCAACTATCAAAAATGGTTCAAAAATGTAGTTTTCATCTACAAACCAACCAAAGCCTTCATCTACACTACGCACGACCCTAACTCAATCCATCTTCTACGTCACGCTTGCACTTCATCACCCAGAACGCCGACAAGGCACACATTTTCTTCGTCCCATTCTCTCCCTATATTTCCATTTGTACACTTGCCTTTTCATCGGGAACCTACGGGTGGACTTCCCGTACTTGAACTGTGTTTTTGTCTGAACAGAGAAGATAGTGTGAGAGATCGAGAAGCTGAGTGATCTAAGAAGGGAGAAGCTAAATTGGAGATTGGAGAAGGGCTTTTTCCTGGCTTCATAAATGGATGGGAAAGAGAGAGATGGTGAGATCAAAGATGTGAGAAAGACTGAGAACAGAGGTACAATGTTGGAGATTCGCAATCTTTGAAATAACAAAATAATAAATGAAACAAATATACCCAATTCAAACTTGACCTAAATTTTGTTAGGCTCATTCAAATTGTCCAAATAAACTCAAAATATAAAGATTTTCTAAAACTACTTACTCAATACCTCTAAAAATTTTTTAAATTTATTCAAACTAAACCTGAATTACTAGCCCACTACAACTTGTTAAACCAAAGTCAAAGCAACAAGTTAAATCATTTAAATTGAGAAACTAAATTTTACCCCTACATTAAAATATTAATTGCAATTATGTAAGAGAAGACAAAGTTAAACACAACTCAAGATACATTAAGCTATATAAATAAGGCAAGACCAATCATATTTTACAGATTGTCATAGATATTACGATTAGAGGTAGACAAATTCCACCTCATAGATCAAGACTCCAACTCTTTAAATAAAAAAAAATATAATTTTATTTATTTTCAATACAAGGCAGTGGTTAAAAACCATGCAGAAAAACCTCTTAGGTCACATCGACATACAAAAGGTCGGTACAAACAATTAATGGAATATAAAAAATGTGAACTTCCACATTATCGCTACAAGCTTGGTGAGCCCCTCAATTAACACACCTATTCAAATGTAACCATCCAATTTTTCATAGCATATTTTCTAATTTTGTTGATAGTTTTAGTAAGCAAAGATAGAGTTAGAGTAAATATTAACCTTGTTAAACTTTATTCTAACAGATGATAAGACCTTTAAGCATATCCATAAACTCAACAACTGTGCTAAAATGATATACAAAGTATTTCGAAAAGCATGTAATCCAATTCCTTTTGTCATCTAGATGAGCCCACCACAGGCAGATTTTATGTTATTATTAAACAGTCCAAGCTTTTTAAAAAAAAATGAAAAAGAAGCCCAGCTTGTTTAGCCAACTAGGCTTTTAAACATTCGGCTGTTTTAACTTTCACTAAACAGACTGTGCCAGAGCATAGCCACCCATTATGGACATGACATGTTCCCCACCCTACATATGGCCCAAGCTTAAAACATCATAACGCATGGTTCAAAAAAAAAAAAAAAAACGAACGGCATCCTCATACCTGGGTTCATGAAACTAAGGCCAGTTTGGATGGAAGATGTAAAATCCATATGCAATAGGCATTTATGTAAAACTTACCATACATCCTTAATAAACCATAATTTTTATTTTTGTTAAGAACTCGAGATATTTCTCATTTATAAAATTATTTTTTATTTAATTTCTCACCTTATTTCATTCCATTCCGCATGATAGATGAATCATAGCCATCGCATGACATCAACACCACAATATGTGTCTCTCTTGATTCAAATGGAGATTTGAGTTCAGATATGCATAAACGTAAAATATTGATACCGGTAAATTAATCCGGAGCTTGACCTCAGATAAATAAATAAGTTATGAGCACCAATTGGTCATAGACATATTAAACCAGATTTGCGCTTGTCATGTCAGACCACAACCTAAGAAGGAGAAATCTCCATGTCTTCCATGAATCCAATCAGTTCATAAGCTCTCTGCTTAGACTCAACTTGTTGGTTCATTTGCTGAGTCCTCAATGTGCATCGCCCAAACAGGCACCAACAAGCCTCACCAAGCCTGAACAGCCTGTACTCATTTGTGATTATTACATTTAAAAGGTTCTGTGGACGGGAATGTCAAAGTAAACTGTGTATCTCAGGGCATGTTTACGCAAACTATAGATCTCGGAAATGCCACCCACAAGATTGAAATTGTCATACATATGGTTAAGACTGGGTACGAATGAAAATTCTTCCAGAGTAATTCAAACTGGCTAGGGAGAAAAATCAAAACCATAAAATGGAACAGATATGTCTTGCAGCCCATTAACACTATACTGTCTAGTTAAATGCACAATAAAGCATCATATTAATACCCAGCACACCTTTCAAAGGGATATCATAGCAACAGCTAATCATCATCAAGAACACTGTGACGCCTTTGTATCTGAAAAAGTAACAGGATGTATGACACATTGGTAACGGATATCATAGCAACAGTTAATCATCATCAAGAACATTGTGACGCCTTTGTATCTGAAAAAGTAACACGATGTATGACACGGTGGTAACTATACATAACTTGAAAAAGAACAGGATAACCAGTAGTCTACAACTTACTGTAACTTTCGTCTGCTTGGTTGTTTGGTTGTTTATCTGCTCCAGCAATGATATGAGTCTTTCTTCAGAAACCTGCACATGCCATTAAATAGATAATAGAGTGCCCTTCTCTAATTCCTCATATGGAATATGTCCTTCAATTGTTAAATGGATCTTATCTTATTTCTTCTCTTCTCTTTTCCTTCTAAATTATGAACATATGCAAGGGCTCAATTGATTGCTAAAAATGAGCCTTCAAAGAAAGGAATACAAATGAATAATGCAGGCCATAACAACGTTAGTTATAGAAAAGAATAAGAATGATATTATCTTTTATATTTAGTTAACTAAAACTAACGAAGGAAAGGAAAAGCATGATAGAAAAATAACCACAATATCCCTAGGTGAATGAAATAAAAAAATAGCTTCACAAAGAGATTTCTTTGTGAACAGTGATTCAAAATGGTAGGGATCAGCAATTGAGGGGAGAAGATGACATGAGCGGGAGATGTCGTCAGCCAACAGAACAGTGTGGTGAACACGACTGTGGGAATAGGTCAGTTCTCGTGGCTTGAAACAACACTAGGCAGGAGCGGGGGTTGAATTGGACACCTGAAGTGGACACCCGAGTATGTAATGGCCCTGAATAATGCTGCCAACACAAGGGATGTTTAACCCAGATAATTTCAGGCTTTCCATACAATCAGAAATCTGAAAACCTTATCAATGCTGAGGCAGCTTCTTGAACTATTGCGACAGCCAAACTTCATCTCCTATCCAATGGCAATGCCTCTCTAGAGCTCGAGGAGTTGAAGATGATGACCTACTGCTCAATGCCCCTGCTAATCAAGGCATTTTTGTCCTTACATTTTGATTCCCACAAAGAGGTTTTTATTCCTCCAATTTTTAGATGGACTTAGTAATACCTTAAATGGTAGAATGAGGCTTTTCAATGGAATGAAATATCAGGCATTTCAAGAACCAAACAACAGAAGATACAAAACCGCAATTCCTTTAACCCTGAAACTAGTAAGCAAACGACCTAAATTACTTTCCTACAATTTCCTATGCTCAAAAAATTATTCCTTTTCACCTAAGATTGAAGTGCGCCAGTAGTCTTCAACCTTCACAACCATCAAAGACAATAGATAGTTTAAAAAATAAATGAAATAAAATTACTTGTCACAAAATACTATACATTCTCAATAACACAAACCAATAGTTTAGAATGCTATTGACAGTTTACTATCTTTTGTGAGTTTCAATTAGTGTCAACAAGACATAGCATGACACTATAGATTGATTAACATTTTTCAGCATCAAAGATTGTAGAATAATTGGTTGTGCCAGAGCTACAGCGGAGTTCAAAAGGATAGAAAATATAGAAATAAAACCATAATTAGAATTAGAATAGAGAAGTTGCAGCAAATGATAAGATCCAATGTACCTTTTCTGTTATCTGACCCATTTGAGCAGCTCTCAATATGACATCTTCAACACCTCTTGCTTTCTCAGGTTTCACCAAAGCAATTCGAGCAACTACATATAAAAATAGCAACAAACAAAATGGATATAAAAGTGTTAGTTACATACAGAAAATGAAGGGAAAGATCAAAACGTAAATAGAAAATTAGCATGCCATCATCAATCAGCGGAACATGCAAATGAACAATACGATAATACATCATTCCAAAATTCTGATGGAAAAAGTATCATTTAAAAAAATAAGAAAGAAAGAAGAGAGATACAGCATCCAACTCTCTATAGGATACATATTTGGTATATTACCATACGTGTCCATCGTGAAGTGTTTTGTCCTCCCCATTGGTTTGGAATGCCTATACAGCTGACTGATGAAAAGTCCTAATCTTCCTTTTCTACTAAATATGTCTGCGTCTCTTGTTGATCACCTTTCAGGTGAAATAATTGCATCTAATTTTTAGCCTTACTACATCCAAAACTCAACCTCCAAAACATCTTAGATATTTGCTTGTGGCAGTTAAAAGAGAAACATACATGTAGGATTGTTTGAACGTTAGAAATTATACCAGCCCCAAGATCCCTAACTTCACTGAACAGCACTAGAGCATAAAGTCCTGCATTCCCATCATTTTCATCCACAATACTGAATTTGCCTCAACTTCAATTTTCAATATATTAAAACTATAACTTTTGGCCCTTGGAAGTTAATAATCAAATATCAACTAACAATATAGAAATCCAACCACATTCTTAGATCATACCCATCAAGAGCCCCCTCCCCCCCAAAAAAAAAAAAAAAAACAGAGAGAGAGAACAGTCAGAATTTGAGGGAGAGAGGAGGATGAGAGCAGAGAATAAGAAAAAGAGAGAAACACCTCGTCTTGAAACAAAGAACGGCTATTGTCAGTTGATATTCGATTATTTACTTCCAACACTCACAGCGTACAAGATTCATTAATAAGCAAAATTATTATTAATATTATTATTATAGAACTTGGTGAACAAAGAGCATATTTCATTTCACCTACTTTTAGCATTGTTGTTGACTCTTCAGCCTTAACGAAAAAATTGAACTTTCAAAATACAAGAGCTTTTATGTTGAATTAGTCTTGCCATCAATTGGCAGTCCCTATTTCAGAAAATAATAAAAAGTATAAGCTTACTATATGGCATTAGCATCTATTCATTAATTGACACTTGTGGTTAAGTAATAAAAGCTCCACAACAAATGATTGTAAAACTCCAAAATATCCATAATGGGATCCTTTTTTTAAGGTCAAGGAGGATGTGGATTAAACACACATATTATAGTTATTCCTGTCTCCCAACGCCTAATAGAAAATGTAATGCTACAGGTTATTCTTGTGCTTTTAATCATAATCTAACCAGATAATTCTATTCATTGCGCAAATCCTTATCTGACCTTTTTAACAACAAATCACAAAATGCAGGAAAATAGAGTTCATAAGCTTTATAAATCAATATACTTGTAGAGTTCATTTTCCTATCAGACATTTAAATACATGGACCTATTCATGAATAGTTAAACTTGTGACAAATTAACAGTCTATTGTAGATTTTCATATTTTATAGGGGCATATCGGTCATACAAGCTAAAGTTCAAACTTATACCAAATCTAGCAATTTGCATGTTTAATGAGCCAGTTTCGTGACATCTTTCCAACTACAAATTTTGAAGGCAAGCTCATTTGTGAATATAACCCATTTTAGATGCCTTCTCATATATAATTATATAAATATATATATATATATATATATAAAGATGTCTTCTTATTTTCTCACCCCTGTATGCTACAGTTTCTCAGTGCATGTCCCCCAAATTGTCTCAACATAGGAATAACAAAATTATAGAACTGCCAATGGCAACCAAGTAAAAGTAGTACTTTTAATCTTCTGGCCAGACCATCTGTAGAATAGCATTGAATAAAACATCAAATAAAGTTGCTCCTATAAAAATTATCAATTAAATGATCACACCAAAACCCGAAAAAAAATTAAGAGGTCTAATAGATAAAAAATGAGTAGCCAACCAAGAACCCAAAAATTCAGGTATAAACTTACGTCTTTCCCGGGCTTCAGCAGACAATATCTGACTGAGCATCATTTGTCTTCGCTCCTCGGCCTCCCTAAATAAATTGTTTTCTCATTCTGGTGAATAATTTTTCACTCCAAGAAAATATTAAGGCGTACATTAAATGCAGAAAGGGGGACTTTGAAATATAATTTATATTTTATAGAACGAAAAAGAAAAACTAGTGCAATTGTACAAGAGTTTAATATTAAGTGACGGACCTCTTAGCATCTTCCTGAGCCTTCTGCTGTTCAGAGTTTTGTTGACTTCCCTGATAACAAGAATAACATAATCAGCAACATCAACATCAACATACTCTCTCTCTCTCTCTTTCAAAGGAATGAATAAATTTAAAGCTCAATCAGTGACTGCTAACCACGCCTTGCTGAGCCATAAGTTCCTGCATCCTTCTCTTTCTGATCGCTTCCAACTCAGGATCAGCCTGAAAAGAGTACGTAGCCTTATAAATCTAAAGCAGTGCCTAACTAATATATAAGAATACCATGGAATACCACATTTTATGTACAACTTATAATTATAATGATGAAAAGTTGAAAGTTAAACAGCATGCCTACATTAACCCAATGCTTAAAATGCTCACTGCCCAAGTACATGTATTAAACGTTTCAGCATGACAAACGTGCCAACAAGAAACAAAAAACATCCTACAACAAAGACAAGCAATGAAGCAACGTGCTGGTTCCTACCAACAGATGTATCGCAGTGAGTTCACAGACAGCGGGAAACTAGGAACCAAAAATATTAAAGCCCAACTGCACAAGTCAGTTGAGGGGTGCACATTGACAGAAAAACAAGGTCTAACTAATTTTTCAGGGCTGCCTCACGAGTAATTACAGTTAAAAGTAGGTAGACTGGAGAACGACAATAATACTAACTAAGAGAAGTCCAATTAACAAAATATAGAGCACCATAACAGCCCAAATTTACAAATCCACATGGGGATCATGTCAATTAAAGAATTCAAAGTTCAAAGTTGGTAAGGTTGATAGCTCTTATTCAAACTCAAAAACTCACAAAAACTAGCTAGCACCCATTTCAAGCAACATAATCTCCGCCGCCAAATTACCAAAGATGATATCAAGCATAAAAGAGATCAGTGCTAGTCCCTCCCCGACGAAGTCTGCTTATGTCAACACGATATGTTTAGATCATAAAACATTCAAAATCCGGAAACATGTCAAATCCTCAACACCCCGATGCAGCGTTCTTTTGTTTCCAAGGGAAATAAAGCGGAAAATGAAGGGAAGAATTCCATTATTTAACGCACCATTGGTGAGCTGAGCAGAGTAAACCCTAGAGAACCGAATGGGGACTTGCCGATTCACCACCTGGGAGTAGTAGAATAGAGCACCCTCCTCAACAAACTGATCCAGAGAGTTGCAAAGAAAAGGTCGCGTTCGTAAAACGGGATTGCCTTTATCAAAAGTCAGAATTCAAACAGAGAGCCTATCGTGAACCGATCCGAAGGCGTGACGCTTGACAAGTGACAGCCGCGCGTGAGATACTTTGCTCGTTAATGGGCCCACTCTGTTGGCCCGTGTATGAAGCTCACCTTCTAATGGGCTTTTTTGGGCAGCCCCGTTAGTGGGTTTGGTGAGTAATCCATAACATTTTGATTTTACAAAAATTCAAATGGTATTAATTAGTTATAATTTTTATTTTTGCTAAAAATAAATTCTGCATCCCTCGATTAAATCAAAAATTAAAATATCAGGTAATAATCGCGCAATCCAATAAATATTATATGGAAACATTTCATTTTATGCATATTCTCCTTTTTCCACGAAAATTTAAATAAAAATATAAAAAGATATGCGACTAACAATTAATCTTTTTTCCATTTAATCAATAAAATTAATCAATATTCAATTCGGAAAGACACGTTCGCAGATTTCCCTCAGAATAGGTCAAGCAAAGCGATTTAAAAACCTATAATCCGACCAAAAAATTTGAAATTTCTTTGGCATTGAAAACCTGTGACTTGAGAGCAAAGCAATTACGATCTTGTAATAATGCACCCTACATATAGGAGAAACAACAACATCAAGTAGTGGAAGTGTGATGACTCATTTCCATTTAATAATACTTGAGGGTGGAAGCTTTCTTTTGCTAGGGTTGGTGAGTTTCGGCCTTTTTGATGTCCTTAGGAGATATACAACTCTTGGATAAGCTCCTACACTTGCTTTTCTATTCTCTTCATGTTCTTTTTCTTGTCTTTGGGTGGTGTTGGCTTAGATATGAAAATGGTTAGGGGCTGTGCTAAAGTTTCTATCATGCTTATGATTAATGGAAGCTTACTTGGGTATCTTAAGTTTTGGTTAAACCACTAACAAAGGTGTTGAGTTGGTTTGGCGAGATTTATGACAAACCCTAATATGGATTAGCTAATAAATGGTTATTTGCAAGTGTTAATACCCATTGTTGGTTATTGGGAGTCTAATTAAGTTATTGGAGCTTAAGTAATGGAATAGACAATGAATATTATCCTAATATAGGTTTTGGGTTTTAGACTTTGATTAAGGAAATTAATTGTGATTAGTCATAATTAGTCCCTAAAGGCAATTAATATGCTTGAGCTTGTTGGAGGCTCCTTGGTTCATCAAAATGTACTCTTGGCATGGTAAACTAAGGGTTAAAAGTAATTGGAAATTAAATTCTTTTATATGTTTGTTGTTTGCAAATTTTAAATATAAGTATGTTTAGCATGGCAATGAATGGAATTAATGAATAGCTATGTTGAAAGTTAAAAGTTGAGTTGTAGAACTTTACGATGACACTAAGATTTACATGGATTGCTTGTTGATAATATGGCATGGGGAGTTAAAAAGGTATGTTGATGTATATCATATACTTGTCTTGAAATATTATGCTCTATTGAAAGTAGAGCTGCAGCATAAGTTGTTAGATTAATGCTCTCTTTTTGATGTACTGAACTTGACATGATGGTTGTGCTGTGTTAAGTATGATCACGAACATTGGCATATCAGGAATGTATGACTTGGGATTTTTACTAAGTATGATGAGGTGAAATCCGCCTTATTAATTATGATCATGAATGCATATATGTGATAACATCATAAGAGCGTGACTTGAGTTGCATGACTATGGTTAGGTGGGAGTTCACTTATCAGAGAAGGGAGTATGAAATGATAGGTTTGATTGTAATAGTAGAAGAATATGAAGGCAGAGTCAAATCTATATAAGCCCATAAGATCATTCCTATATCAAAACTCAAAAGTAGAAATAGAACACGAAAGCATACCTGAATACATCATCATGTTTTTAAGGTTTGTTTTCTGGATTTGTCATCGGTGAAAACTTTGTATGTTTTCAAGAAGAGGGACTGGAGAACGTTTCTTCTAACTAGCTAAACTATGACCACAACCCCTATTTATAAAATTAATAGGTTCGTGATATTTGTGATTTGGCTCCTAAACAAATCATAAATATCACCTTGATCTCTACATATTTATCACATCACAATTATATCCCTAAACCTTTGACCTTAAATCTAAATATATCATTTTATTTAGACTTAACTAAATAATGGCCACACATTTTTAATATACACATATGTGGCCCCATATGTTGGATTTTATTTCCAACATGAAATCTATATGGTGATGCCTTCATTAAGAGTAATGATCAATGGTTAGCCAATTATGATTAATGTTGCTAAGTATTGCCATCGTTTGAAAGGTTGTGGCATAGGTTAGGCACATGCTCAATATCACCAATTATGATTAATGGGTCAGGCAATTATAACACCTCTAAGGTTCAAAGAAGGAGGAATCCATGGTTCAAAAGTGAGTGCAAGTGCCTTGGTCAGGTAAACCCTCACAACTAGAGACCAAGGTTAATTAGGTCATGTGGATTAATCTTATTATAATAGTAGTCCATAGATTCAGCTAGAGGATATAAGGAAAGAGTAATAAGAATGGATGCATGATCATGTGTCATGTAAAACTGTCACATTCATGCTTGAGTACTTATTGTAACACTTGCCTCGAGTGTTATCTAAAAATTACACAATTCAAATAAACTAAGTGTGGTTAAGAAGTTAATCCTAAAACTAACTTTAAAAACAAATCATTTAAATCAATAACAATTTATATAATAGCAAAACACACGTATAAAACCTCTTAAAAAAGTATAAAGAATTAATATGTAGCGCACAGAAGCAAATAAGACAAACAGGGACAGTTAATTGATGTCATGACAGCATTAATTTTGTTGTCATGACAGCCCTCCTGGGCAAACTTTTGAGAGGTGCCGATTCACCATCTGGCCTCCGATTGAAGTAATTTTAAAACTCACACATCACATTCAAAGGGTACTATAAGCATACCAAATTTTAAAAAGATATAATGGTCAGATTAAAAATAAGACATGTTAAAAGTTTGGTTATTTTTACTATCTAGCTGTCATGACAGCACCTCCGACTAACTTTTGAGGTGCACCATTTTATCATCCGACCTTCGATCAGAGCAATTCCAAAGTCCACATGTCACTTTTAAATAGTACTATTAGCATACCAAATTTTAAAAAGATCTAACGGACGAATTGAATTTCGTGCATGTTGCAACATTATCAATGTTGCTGTCATGATAGCAAAAGTACTGTCATGACAACTCTTCCGGACCAAATTTTAGAGTGCACCATTTCTTCATCCAGTATCTGATTGACATGATTCCAAAGTCCACACAAAGGTTATAAAAGGTTTTACTTGTGATCTAAATTTTAGAGAAATCCAACGGTCGGATTAAAATTTAGACACCCAAATGCAAAAGTACAGTTTTTCGATAAAAACCATTTTCAAAATTGTCTAAATCTCATCCTAATGGTCACAAACTTGTGGGAACACTTTGGAAATGTCAAATAGGACTAAAAACACTTGATAGAACATTTAAATGATAGAAAAATCCTTTATACCAAAATTTGACCACCCAGTGCCATTTTTCAAAATGGACCCTAAACCCCCAAAATGTACAAATCACACAAGAGTGGCCAAAAACTATTCTAAATATCATATACACATATGAATACACACGCTAAATATTTTCACTTAACTCAGAGATCTCTGTGGGGCCCATGTACCCACTTTCTCTATCTAAGGTGTATGTTTGCCCATAGCATACCATTTGCAATGCAACCACTTTGCATTTGCTTGTGGAATCACATATATACCAAAATAAATATTTGCTTGTAGTGGAAACTTGGTCTACTAAATAAATTCATCAAAACCACATACCATAGCCAAGTTTCATAGCCACAAGTATACAAGCAAACAAAAATTTATACACAAGCCATACAATCCACACATACTCACACACATATACATAATCATATCCTACTGGCACCCTAATCCTAAATATATTACAATAAATTTGCTCAAAAGAAAGGGGTTGCAGTTCTTTATAATTCACAAACAACCTCTAGCTCTGCTCCTTTCCTCGTCCTCCACTGGTTCTTTCACCTGGACCTGGAAATATTGAAAAGAAAGGGGTAAGACAACCACAGTCTCAGTAACAAAGAAATCAATATTCCTTATTATAAAGAAAGTCATGGTCAAGTAAATAAATAATAGATTCAAAATAATATATAATTGACCAATTAAAATGCTTGAATGCATGAGATAGGCCGATATAGTCTTTCCTGATCAATAAAATGCCCTTTGGCACTCTTTAACTTGTAGGTAAACCTTATACCCACTGTACCTCCGCAGGCACAACATATAAACCAAGGCATGATCTAATCCACCGAACCATCTGTGCCCCTTCAATGTAAATCCTGAGCAGTCAAAGCTAACTCTTTTCCAAAGACAGCCTGACTTACTCTCCATGTGACGGCTACCTTGGCCTAGACACTCAACCTCATACTTCATATGCCGGATTTTCTCTCCCACTGAGGGGTGTTGAATACTCAATCCACTAACCACTTTAGTTTATTGAGCCCACAATACAAAAGGCAACACTGAGTACTGATAGTGAGCCATAGAATATCACAAGACCACGTCTCCCCATTGGTGAACTCCCACCAAGATCATACCTCCTACCCTTTTCTACCTTTCTCAAGTATTGACCACTTCAACACTCAAGGTAGTATGACACTCATAATTCATCCCTTAAGCGGTTCCTGAGCCTATCTAAGGTACCAAACCTAGTTGCACTTTCCTAAGTGCAACTCCTTATTTTTTATAATTATAATGCTTGCTAATAATCTTATTTCTATAAGTAACATCAATATTAAATAGATAGTAAACATAGATGCATTATTATTAAATCAATACCCCATAAACCCTTCTAAAACACATTTTATTTGCATTCAATTATTTAAAACATGTAATGCATGCTAGATAATATTATCTACTTAAAAATAGGTAAACAAAGCAATAAGAAATATAAATTTCCCTATTACCTTAACCCTTTGGTACCAAAAA